TCCCTTGTCCCACCATTTTCTGGCTGTTGAAGAAATACAGCAAAATGGTGGCCAACTATTACTACCTATAGAAGAAGACGTATATACACTACATCTCTGGCTGAGTGATCTGTCTTTCCATGAATAAATCAGTGGGGTTTGCCTATACTTCGGATTAATTTTTGTATGTATATATTTCTGCCCTGCCTCCTTGCCCACCAGTCTGAAATATGCTCCGCGTATCTTTCTTAGCGCTCATCTCCATTCTTTCATCTTTTTTTCTTTGAGAGCTAGGGTGGTCCAGTGGCTACAGCGCTAAAGTGGGAGCCAGGAGGACTTGGGTTTAAGTTCCCCTCTGTCACTGACTGGCTGTCTGCCTTTGGGTCAGCCGCCTCACTTCCCTGTCCCTCAATTCTAGCATCTGTAAAATGGGGATTAATGCACTTTGATATATACTGATGAGTGCTATGTAAAGGTTAAGTATTATTATCTTTGTATCAAGTATTCTAGTATTTCCAGAAAAGTGCATTTCATAAACCCTCCTCCCTTGCCTCATCCCACAGTTTTGAGTCTGTTTCCAAAGCCATCTTCCCACTACTGATATTCATGAGGGTTACTTTTCATTTTTGAGGATCACATGTGCTAGGGGGCCATTGCATATGACCCTGCACTTTTAATGGACCTGTCTTTGTCAGCACTCTACCTTCTTTTCTGCTGTGGCCCTCTATGCCCTGAATTTTGATGAAGGTCCAAACATGTTAATCCATGTCTCCACCCACCAACCAGTTGCCAAAACGATCCCTAGGACCTCAGCAGTGCCCAATCACTCCCAGTGACTGAGAAACCACTCTTTCCCCCACAAAATGTGTTTTATTAATTGTCAAACTCATCTTGGAGCCCCATACGTCTAATTGCTAACTCAAGAACAGATGCTATTATTTCAAAGTAGTTCCTTTCTTTTTTTTTAAGGTTAAATTTCGCTTTTAATGCCCTCTGTGTCATTTATAGTTTCATGCCTTTTGGCCCAGCTAATAAAATTAAAATCATTAGCAAAATAAGCAGATGCTCTAATATAAAATATTCTGTGTCTATATGGAAAGAAAAGGAACTCAGCACTGACATAAATCCCAATGCATTATAACAATGCGGGGCAATGTGTGTGGGGAGTGAGAATTTGACATATATTTTTATTTTGAAACGTCATACAAATTTACATTATTCAGCCCTTTAACTGCCAAACTGTGAAAGTCCATTAAGCTACTGAAAGGAATATACAAATTATCCACTGGCACTTCAGGCAGGAGTTTTACATATACCCTGTTATTCTATCAGCCAGCTAGCTGCAAGATTCTATTAAGGAGTAAGTGAGAAAATTATATTGCCTGCAAACTAATTGTACAAAAGACTTTAAAATAAGTAATCAGAGCCCAGTCCTTTCTGAAAACCAGCCAGGAGATATTATAAATTGCTCTATCATTCTTGTCAGCCCAGTGTAAAAACCCTGAGCTGCCATGTTGATTTTGTTCCTTGTATAAAACAGCTACCTCTCCAACTATTGACAGAACTGGGTAAACTCAAGTTATGCCATTAGTAGCTGCCCAATTCACCCTCTAGCATTATTTAGCAACTCTAGATAAGAAAATGGTAAAGTATCTTTCTAACATCATCTTCTCACTGAAATTTCAAGTCAGATCTGGAAACCCTTGACATACGTATGCAACCCCTTCAATAAGTGTCTAGCATAACCATCTACTGGTAGATGCCTGAGTGCTTGTTGAATACATTTTTGACTCTTTTGTAGTTTTTTTAGTGCATTGAAGAAAAACAAGTGAATACAAGAGACCTCATGACCTACAGGGTGCAATAAATTTGAACTGGTACCAAAATAGATGTAATAACGTTAGTGAGTGCTTGGGACAGCACATTTTTAGCAATAATATACTTTCACTAACAGAACAACAACAAAATTCAAGGAGGATTTTCAAGGACAGTTCACTAGTAGAAATAGGCGTAGATCTATTCATGTAGGCATTCAGTAGACTACTGCAGCCATCTGTTGAACAGAGACTTTTTGATTCCAGTGAATAGATTTCACACACTGGCCACACTTTTTAAAATATTGCTTGCTGTTGCTAAATTGTGGGCCACACAATTCTTGTGGAGCCATGCAAGGTTCTGATCTTAGTTACACCAAAATAAATCCAGAGTAGTGTTTCTCCATTGACTTCATTGGAGGTACTCCAGGTTTGCAGCAGTGAAATTAAGATCAGAATCAGTCCTATGATATAGAAAATGAGTTATTAAAGCAAAACGGCCTAAATGGATAAGGAAATCTTAACCATCCAACTAAATTACTGGGATCTAATGATTGAATAATGGCAAAATATAACCCTATTTAACCACCATCTCGAAAACCAAAATTTCTGGACAATCAATTGCCTATCATGCCACCTGACAGCCATTTGCACTGGGTTTTATCTCTCCTCTTCCACCCAGTCTTGTCTCCAGTGGTGTTGGATATGTCTGAAACCTTCAGGCTAGTGGGTTTGAACTTCATGCTGTGGAAAACGACTCCATTTTTTACCATCTCCTAGTTTTGAACCCAACCTTTTTGTGTCTGCATCTACTTCTACACCTTCATACAAGGACCCAGCAAGGGGTGAATCTGGAAAATTAGGTGCCTGAAAAGAGAGGCATGGTTTAGTGGTGTGAGCACAGAACCCTGACCCAGAATTTCTGAGTCCTTATCCTGCATCTGTTCCTAGCTGCTTCTGAAACCTTGGGTAAATCATCTCGCCTCTCAGCCTGTTTCCCTTTACCGTGGTGTGGTGAGTTTAACTGAAGTTTATAAAGTCCTTTGAATGGCATATATTGGTAGGTGCCCGTGTCATCTCACTGAGGGAGTATAATGCAGCATGAGAAAGGAAGGTGTGGATTTTGGGATAGTCTTGCTGTCACCCTTTCTTCGCCTCCCTCCACATATCTCAAAAATATTCTTTACCACCTCCATTATCTAGTATCAAGCAGAGGTCATCTGGAGAGCATCTTTCCTCATTTACTGTACAGGCAGACTCTCTAGCCATATTTATTAGGGAGTTTTCTGCTTAGAAGCTATGGAAGGGACCAGAGGGTATATTCAACTTGTAAGTTGTGCCAACAGATCCTGTAGTGGACAGATATGTCCTGATTCCCTGCCTTTTTGCAAGCATTGCTAATTCAACTACGCAATAATGTTCTAAATGACCGAAGCCTGCACAGCCCTGAAAAGGTTGTGCAAAGTATGTCAGTTTTATTGGCATAAATGCATTAAGTTACAATGCTAATTTAGTGAGAGATTTCTGATGGGTTTATCTTGCATATGTTGCACCGTGCAGACCTCTCTATCATAAATACTTAACCAATTTTCAATAGATATAAGTGGTTTAAGTAATACTTCCTGTTGAATTAGCAGTTGCTGAGCATTTGAGTCTTTGTGCTATCCTGCAATCCACTAATGTGATATTTAATGAGGAGACATCAGTCTGGAGAAAGGTAGTCAATATAAATCAGTGTTTACAAAGTGTGATTAACTCTGAAATATTTCATCAATGCTGTGGTCCCAGGCAGACTCTATGCTAATTACTAGAATCTGCGCATGTTTCAGGGGATTTTGACGGACCCTGAGTGCAACAAACATGGAGCAGCAAAATTGCAATTATGCTCGGACTGTCTCTGATGACAATTTATTCATGTGGTGTGATGACCCCTCGCTTCCCAAGAGGGCAATAAACAGAATGCATTTTCATTAAGATACTAATGCACTTAATCACAGGGGAAAGGGTTAGAAAGTAACGAAATACCTTTAAAGCAAGATGTGACAGGGCTGATGGGGGAAGATGCTTTATTTAAAAGTCAGTTTCTTTGCAAAACTACTGACTACCACAGACTCTGTCCTATTGAATTGAGTGGTGAACAATAGGATGCACGGTTAGAGAGACATACAGCAGAAGCCTTTTATGAAAAGAGATATAGCATTGGGACAAAACTTTCCCTCATTTGAACTCAGATACTTACAGGGATGGGGAAATTTTGGTGTAATTTTTAACAGTATTTATTTCGTGTGTATCTGTTTTTTATTTATTTGTTCAGCACAAACAATATGCTCAGTGTTGTATAAAACAAAGATGAAACACTGCTCTGCCACCAAAGAGCTAGAAGCCCCAAAATGGGGTGGGGGAGGGAGGAGGCAGTGACATGGATAGCAGAACTGGCCTAGAATAGTGGGAAGTGTATGCTGTGGCCTTCACCAGGTGTGATTGTGGCTGTGCAGCCCTGCCCTTTTAGAGACATTGTGCCCCCAGTTCTGCAGGGAGAAGGATGAGCTGCCGCACTGCTGTCTACTGCAGGCTTTGCCCTAAAGTCACAGTGTAGTCCTAAGAATGCTTTTAATTCCAACAGTCACCTCCTAACAGCCATAATAAAGCACTAGAGGCCACCTTTTCCTCATATGTCTACAGAAGAGAGGCAGATAAGAAAGGTACAACTGTTATGTCTCATTCTGAACTTCTCCAAACCCAACACAGTTGACATTCTGAAGATTTTCTACGGCCCAGGCATGGAGGAGGCATTCTGGATGGGGGTTCTTGGATCAGGGACATGGTCTTTGTGATTTAGTGCAGATGCTTCCTGACCCAGCTTCCACAGATTACTGTTGCCCCTGGCAGGAATAATCTACATGAAGGAATCTGCTTGGGGATACAGTTGTATCAGGATACAGGCCCATATTAATAAAGCTTTTGCAGTTTTTGTGTACAGTCATCTGAGCAAAAAAAGTCAAATAGGGTCTGAATTTGGCTGTTTTTTTTTTAATTTAATTTCAAAGCCATTTACACTGGCCAGCCAGTAACAATTGCTTTTAATTGCATGCTTGTATTCTCCTAAATGAAATACACTAGGAATGTTATGATTTCTGTTCATATAGTGATGGTATTTGTCAGTTAACAATTCTCAGTGGCTTCTTTTTTCTGAAATCTGTACCACAGGTAACATAGAATACAGCTGCCCAGCAACAAATGAATGTGAAATCACAAAGCGCAGACGCAAGTCCTGCCAAGCCTGCCGCTTCATGAAGTGTCTAAAAGTTGGCATGCTGAAAGAAGGTAAGGCTGATCTAGTCAATACATATCTTGTTGACAAATACATGTAACAATTGCAGGTCAATCAGGAAAGAAGAGAGACAGTTTTTAACTGCTTGCTGAAGATTCCGGGTATATCCAGGTAAAACGCATCTTCTCTGGTGTGGAATATATCAGGTACGCCCTAACATTCCATCTGTTTCAATGGGCTGCTAGTAGAATAATCATCACAAAACCCCCTATCTGTTTCCATAAGATTGTTACCTTGTGAAGTTTCAAGCCTGTGTTCTCTCTCTTACTCTACACTGTTACTGGTACAACAACTACATTCTATGATTTTCTGTTTCCACATTGTACTGATTATTGATATCACCAGGAAAAGTGAAGGGGTTGCTTCTCCTCTCACGGCATGCTGGTGTAAACCCAGAGTAACTCCACTCAAGTCAATGAAGCTACACTGGTGCAAAATTTGGGGTAAGGGAGAAGAGAATCAGATCCTGAATGTTAAGCGCGCACACAAGCTCTCACCCCCTGTCTTTAAAGCTTTTTTATATTTTTTTGGATGCATCAGCTACATCTCTTTTTCCAAATCAAGGCACTGAATCACTGGTAAATGTAGGAAAATATCTCCAAGAAACCATCCTGACAGGCCCAGGGTTTAATATACCCAAGTAACAGCAATATAAAACAAGCAGGGAGACTTGGGCCCTAAGCTACAGAAAAAAATACATTCTTTACATGCCAGAAACCCTACCATTCTCTATATTGTCAATGTTTGAGGATGTCATTTTTTATGCGTAGATTTTATTCACTGAATTTTGATTGCGTTGTCGCCATCAAGAGAGAGTAACAGAAAATAAAATAATTTCATTGACTTCTGCACTAGATAACAATTTAAAATAAATACAGTGAAGTCTGTTCTAACAGTTGCATTCAATGGGTAATCCCCAGCATTAAGCAACCACTTTAGAATATCTCCATACAATTTCCAATGCAATTTTGTTTGAACGTAACTTAAAATAGGCAGCTTTAATTGGTGACCGATTTTTACAAATCCCGTAGATACCCTGAAACCTGTTTTAAAAGACTATAGTCATTCTGGTAATGTCTAAGAAGAATATAGAGCAATAGAGAGATGATGGAAAAATTAGGCCTATCACACACCTCCAGACATATTCTTATTGGATTATGCTTACTAAGAATAAACCTCGTTCTGTGCAACTGCTTTGGCAGACGCTATGATCCTGTGAGCCAAATCCTGCTGTCCTTAGCTTCACTCAAGCAAAACTCCTGTCAAATTCAATGGGGATTTTGCTTCAGTAAAGACTGCAGGATTTGGCCCTCCATTCTGGTGCGGCTTGGATTTCCTTATATGTAGAAAACCTGACTTGTTTCAGCCACTAATAGCCATTGCGCAAAGGCCAAACTGGAAACTTTAGACAAGCTGGAAAATGAAAGGAACACCCGGTAATGACAGCTTTTGAAAGAGACATGGTGCTTAAAATCTTTGTCAATAGGAAAAAAAGGTCTTGTATTACTAATAATTTAAAATACAGGCATATTGAGGAACTTGTTCTTAATAGGAGGGAATGGAAAGACACTACTAAGTGTTCAGATGGGTGAACTGATTGATAACTTGATTCTTAAATGTGACATGCACAATTACTTATGCATAAATATTTGTAATTGCATGCCTAGTTTGTGTGTGCAGCTATTGTGGCTGTATGTGCAAATCAGGAAATTGCTTCTGAAAATGACTATGTTCAGTTTCCCAATCTGCATGTGCAATCACAGTAATTGTGCACACAGTTCAGGTGCAGATTTGTTCACCTGTTTTTCTTGCACAGTAGTTGCTTAAAAATCAGCCCCTTAAAATGCACTACCCAGATTTCAAAATAGAAGTTGAACAGAATCAGGCCCATTTGTTTTAACCAAACTGCAGCTCAGGTTATCAACACTTTATTGTGTCTAATTTTTCAGTAAAAGAGTGGGATTTTTTTAAATCCTCTGTTTCATAGAAACGCTATCTGAATCTCCACTGCCTTTTCCCACCTTGTGGTCAACTATATTTATTCAAAATAGGTGTTACCTCTACTATTCCAATTTGGTGTAAGTTACTATGCAGGTACAGACAGGGCAGTAGAAAATCAAGAGAAATATTACAGTTGACTGACCAAAATTTGACTTACCTTCCAAAGTGCATTTTTTAAAGTATTCCCCTGATTATAAAGCAACAATCAGCTCCTTCCAAGTGAAGTCTACTACATGGTCAAATTTCCAAACTCCTTTGCTGGACCACCCACTGACGACAAACCCACTGTCCTTCCACTCACCACCTTTGCTGCCTGCCTACGAGCACGCAGTTCTTTCTTGTGGATGGGTTGGCCAGCAGACACACAGGGAATTTTGTTTTTAATTACTGAATGTAATGCTCATGAGAAGGGCTAAATTGACAGTATAACAGACTGAAATCTTCTTTCCACAAAATAAGTATAAAGCACAGGCAGTCTGGTTGCACAGTCTGGTCCCTGCACATGTGGCTCAACCATGCCTGAGAGAGATGACTTCTAGGGACAGTGCCAGGTTTACAGTGACTCCATGGAGCCGGGCTCATGCTCAGAAGGGGCCCCGGCCTGCTCTGCTTGGACTGCGCCCCGAGACCCCGATAGATCCCCCAGCCCACCACTTGCTCCTCTCGGCCTGCCTCCTGGCTGGCCAACGGCTCCTCTCTGCACCCTGGCCCCCACCTCCTGCTCTTCTCAGCACCTTGGCCGGACCCTAGTGCACCTCCCGTTCTGGGCAATCTCTGCTTCCCACCACCTGTGGGGCCCCACCTGTCTCCCTGGAGCTGAGCCACCTGGGACTGGTGCAGAAGCCTGGCCATTCTCAGCCAGGTTGTGTGTGGGGGAACAGTGTGGAGGGCTTGGCTGGGCAAGTGCGTCTTGAGGGACCCTGGCTGGGGCAGGTCCTGGCCTGCTGATTGCGCTACTCCCCAGGGGACAGAGCGCTTCCCGGCACTGGGACCAGCTCTGGCTGTGCTGCCGGCTCAGCCCGGCAGACAAAGTCGCCTCCCAGCAGGGTTGGTGAGTGCGGCCAGGAGGCAGGGCTTGGGGGAGTGGGTCTGTGGGGAGTATGGGGGGGGGTGCTGGGCTGTGAAGGGGTGGGGAGGATCTGTGTGTGTTGTGGCACTAGGGAGTAGGGGTTCTGTGGGGGTGCTGGGAAGTTGTGGTGGGGCTGTAGGCGGGGTGGTGTAGTGCAGGGTGCTGTGCATTTGTGGGTGGGTCTGGGGGGGTGCTGGGCATAGTGGGTCCAGGGGGCCTCTGGCCATAGGAAGTCATGGGGTGTTGGGTGGGAGGCTGTGTGTTGTGGCATAGGCCCACCCCCGAGGGCAAGCGGCATGCTGGCAGCACAGGGCTGGGCAGGCCACTGTGTGTCTGGCAACTGCCGGTTTGTAAATAGTGCCCTCGCCCTGTCATGACATGCCCTATTGCCTTTGGCTGGCCCCTCGCTCCGGGGACTGACCTCCCCATGCCATGCTCCATTGCCTCCATGGGGGCCCACAAATATGTTTGGCGCTGGGGCCACAAAAGGTTAATCCGGCCCTGTCTAGGGAGCGGAAGGAGAGTTCAGTTTCTTTGCCCCACTTGGTGGTGGTCTTTGGCATTTGGAACCAGACTGATACACGACATGCTGTTGGAGCTTTGTTTTTAAGAGAAATTGTTTTTAACTACTTAGAAAACATTTGAGGATGCGCTTTTGTTTAGGATGGATTAAATTGTGGATTTGTCAGTCTTGACAGTGTCCTTTATGTAAAGATTTTAATGATAGATGATAATGTTTTGTTTCCTTTAGGTTAGATGTATGCAGCTGATTCCTACTGTATTCCCAGCACCCAGGGAAAATTAGATACAGGGACAAGTGTATCCTTAGTATAACTCCATTGGTTAGAATGGATTTACAGCAGGAATGAATTTGGCCCCCTATGTCTTAAACATGTCTTTATGTATAGACGAGGATTTCAGTCCCATTCAGCATGTCAGAGATCATGCTGCAGTAAATCTATTCAAATGTAAACCTGTTCAATTCAATTACCAGTCTATAATAAAATTTGCTGCTACAGCCTCCACGTTGGTCACAGCAGTCTCTACCTGCTGATGGCACAGCATGCCTGGAAATTGACAGCCTAAATCTATTTACTAAAAAATTTACTTGCAGACCCTGAAATAAAATCAAGTTTCAACAGCTTTGATAGGAACATCATATTCTTTACAGGAACTTCTGCACAACTGCCAATGTGTGTCTCTGATAGAAATCTGCACCAGGGTGTTGGGGAGCTTTTCTTTTTAGAACTTTTCTTGAAATTACATATATATCAGTCACTTCATTTCTTTTCACAGCTTGGGAAGTTTATTTAATTTTAGGATGTTGTCACTTTGTGTCATCAGCTTTGATGACAACTGGCTAGAAGCGTCAACTTGTCCTTTGTCTTTGAGAAACAGGTTTACCCACACCCCAGACTTGTCTGGTAAACACACTTCAGTCATGATTTCAGCTTATGTTCATAACTTTTACATATAATGTTGCTACGTACATTTCACCAGCAAGTTATTAGTTTTCAAATGATACCTTACAAGGTATATTTTGTACAAAGATTATTACAATAGTGTGTAGGGTATGAATACAGGGGCACATTCCGTCGCAGAGGGTCCATATACTCTTCATCCCCTCATGCACCTGGGCCTAAGTAGCCATAATCGGAACCTAAATATTTAGGCCCAACATTTATGTACCCAGATTCAAGGGACCATGTGGTTTAGTTGAGAAATTTCTCCTCAGTGTGAACAGCATATAATCAAGATCCCAGTCCCTCTTGGGAGCTTAATTTTTTCCATATATGTTCCACTAACATTAGAGTCCTAGACTTTAGGGCCAGAAGGGACCATCATGATAATCTCATCTGACCTCCTGCTAGGGTTGCCAACCCTCCAGGATTGGCTTGGAGTTTCCAGGAATTAAAGAATAAT